ATAATAACCACATGATAGTAGAGCAAAATTAAAGCTGTACAGACCGATAGTTTAGTTTAATGATATAGTTTAGTTTAATGATAATTAATAATTAATAATTAATAATAATGAGGTGACTACCCTAAAACCCTATACAGACACGAAGGGTCGTCAAATATGAATGGCCTCTGAATAATTTTGAACGAAAAAAGAGGGTCGAAAAAGAGAAGTCAAAAGCCTCTGTAAATGGGAATTGGCCATTGATTGCTACACTCCCTACAGGTTTGCCAAGCAGAGCGCAAACATTGATGTGTACGCACACACAAACTCATACAGGCCAAATAGAGTGTATATGTTTGCCCTACAATTTCTAGGGTTTAATTTCTTTATTCTTGTCCCTCGAAAACCCTATAATGATTCTCCATTCTCACTGGCTGTTTGTGCTTGGAAATTAACAAGAATCTTCCAACTTCCTCCATTGCTCTCTTCCTTCTTCATCATTTTTTAAAATGTGATCATCATTGTTCCTTCTGCTGGTCTAATTTCACTTTTTCATACTTTTTTTATGAGTAGAGGGTAATTGAGTGTAAATTGAGAAAATTCTTTCTTCAAACAACATTAATAATTTAACTATTTTTTTATGATGAGATAATTAGAAATGTCTTACAAAAAAGAATGAAAGAAGTAGAATAAAGTCTTTCAAATTATGTGACAATAAATTGGTTCTAAAATAATAGTAAACGGAGAAGAAGACAAGTAGTAAAAAAAAAAAAAACAGAGTAAGTTGGCTTCTTCTTCTTCTTCTTTTTTTCATAAGTTGGCTTCATTTCAAATGTCCCGCTGAAAGAAGGCCGGTCGTCTATATATTACAAATGCGCAAAGATGATAGGTTGAAGAGGAAGAATCTGCATGATTGAAGAAGAACCATTCTGATTCATCCGTTGTTGTTGTTTTTTTCAATAATTATTATTATTCAGAGACGATATCATGATTCTGTTTCAGAAGGGAATGTTCATCATTAGTTGATACTTTCATTTGAGTGAATTCTACTCTTTGTATGTTTTCAAAATGCATCCCACCATAGGGAGAAGCAAACAGTACTGACCACCGCAGTCAAAAAAGAATTCGAATTATTATTATTTTTTAAAAAAATGATTTAAGAATGGCAAAATATCACAGATTTCATCAGAATGGGAATCTCTTTTACCCATTTCCCCAAGAAGGAGAGCAAATAAGAATTACTATAGCCCTGAGGTTAGGTGAAATAATGAAAAGGTAGTAACGAGAAGGAGACCACGTACATAAAGCAATGCACACTCTCATGTGTCCCCAACTAGTGTAGTGACTCATCTTTTCATGCCTTTTCCCTCTTTGTTTATTTCTCAGCCCCAAAATAAAAAGACACTCCACTCCTCCTCCCCTGTCATTTTTACCACTCGGGTCCATTTTCTAGTATAAAAAACATAGAATAAAAATCATATATATATAATATCTTCATATATACCTTAACGAGTAACCTGACTTAATCATAATGACGATGTCAATTGTGAGTTTGGAATTGTATTCATCATGAACGGTTGTAGTTATTTGAAGTTTCATGATTAGTAATAATTCAAAACCAAAAGGATGTTGAATGAGGCATGCATCTCGCATCATGATGTTAAGAACCGCCCATACGTACATTGAGCACATAAATATGTAAAAAATTGTTTTGCGTGGCTAATTAATTGACAAAAAAGAAATTGGGAAAAACCCAAAAAAAATTTTGAAACTTTAAATTAATATTTATTTTGCATATCTTGCATTTGATTTGAAAAGGGAGAGTGTCTTGTTGCGTTCTATAAAGACATCAAAAACCAAGAAGGAGAAGTAATAAACTAGGCAACAAAATGGAAGCCACTTGCATTAACGTCCTTGTATCCTTTTTATTATTCTACGATATGCTTTAATCCCTCCACGTATGTAGGCTAGGCATAGAGGTGCATCATGCACACACTTGATTACAAGCCCGAGCGATGTGCACAGACAAAGTCGCCATTTTTTATTAAATGAAAAAAAAAAAAACAGAGTACAACTATACCCACTCGTAGAGGGAAAAAAATCAGTCTTCTGAATTTATTTCATGGCCGATTTTCATTATAAATATTTTTCCATCTTGCTCGAGCCTGTCCCTGCTCGTCTGATGTTGAGTTGGGAGAATTTTAACACAATCCAAACCAATTTAAATCGTCTCCAGAAGAGTGAAAACTTAACTTTTAATTAATCAATGCAACTCTTTTATCAATCAAGTCTCACGTGTATGTTAGTTTTCAATTTACATATGATAAAAATATATTTAAAATATTTAATTATTTGTTAAATTTAGTAAAAATACATTTCGAACATAGTTTGAATGTACTTTTAATGATTATTTAAATGAATTATAAACATTTAAGGTCTTTTACTTGATTTTTTACGGTGAAAGTATTTCCTTGAGCTTGAGAAGAGAGAAACAGAGAAGAGAGGATGACCAGTCTAACACGAAAAACGTGTCCTCTCTTAGTCTTGCTGTAGTTCATTGTCTAATCTAAAACTGAAAATAAAAAGGACAGAAACTGAAAAAAAAAAAAATGTACGGTGAGATGCATTGACCAGTTCCTGGTTACAGAACAGTATATTGACTTATTAAATAAGTACCCAAGTTGTCATTAAAAAAAAAAACTTTAATTGCAGGCTGCTTTTATTTTAAAACAAAAGAAAAAAAAATGGAGGGGGGCTCTTTGCCTTGAAGAATCAATAATTCCTGAATATATGATTCCTTAACGCTATCGTCCAATTCAAATCCTCACAAGCACGTCATATTCTTCCTTCCAAAAAAGCTGGGAGGGAAAATACTCAAATCAATGTATGTGTTCATTCACTTTTTTATTTTTTTTTAAAAAAAACAAGAAGATATTCTGCTCCTGAAGTGGTCCATTGATTGCAACAGATGAAGAGGAACGAAGCTACAGGTTTAGTGACTGATACCGAGAGAGGGGCTTGTATCTATAAATTCAAGTAGAGATCTACATTACAAGACTTTCTCTTTCGGTTTCACCGTTGCGTTAAGCATCCTTCCATGTCCACTTTTTTTTTATCCTCTTTTTTGCTCCGATATGACCTGTGTCAAGCCGTGGCCACTTCTCTCTGTTTTTATTTTGGTTTCCTTCTCCTGCCAAAAAACTTCTCATCACCTTTATTTTTTATTTCCTCTGTTTTTTTTTGGGAGGGGGGGGGGGGCTACACCATCAATCCAATCATCAAGTTTTTGATTTGTTTGGTTACATAACGATCAAGGCTTTCTTTATACCAAAAATCAAAAAATTATTGATTTTGCTGTCTTTTATGCCTACCCTTTCTTTGATTTCGCTAAAGCTTGTACTCTTTTCAATATTTTTGGATTTGTGATTAGACACACCTACGCTTGATAAAATACTCCTGACAAATTTCAGGCGGATAAAACGGGAACAGAAAAAAAGAGAACTATAAATCTGTAATATTTTTTGGATGAAACTATAAATTTATAATATTGTTATGTAGCCCGCACCAGATTTCATTCCAAATCAACATTTTTTCAGCTCTTTTTTTTTTCCCTCTCCTTTTTAATGAAAGTGTAGGACTAGAACGCTTGTATTTAAGATTTTGAAATGAGAACACCGTTATTGAAAGATATGATACTACTTATATAGTAATATTCCGAGGACAATCAAGCAGTTCCATAAAATAGTCATTTGGTCCTAAATTATAAAATAATTTTTTTTAAAAAAATTATTTTAAAATATAAGACAGTTTAAGAAAAATAAAATTTTATACTATTTTTTAAATATTACCCTTCAAATTGAGGATAATTAAAATAATATTATAGCATACTTCCTCTAATCTATTTTATTGATCATCTTTTATAAGGATGAAGTGGTCTAGTTTATAAGTTATTGGATTGACAATGATATTTTATTTTAAATGAAATATCTAAAGTATCCTTAAAATATGAGAGAGAGAGAAAGAGTAATAATATATAATTTATTTATTTTTTAAGGGTTATGTTTAAAATTTTATTAATTTTTATTTTTTATATTTTTGTTATATTAATATTGATGAGGACGATAGAAGTGACTTATAAATAAAATTGAATGAAATATTGATTAAGTATATAGGTACGTTTTTAATAAAATTTATATTTTTTGTATGAAAAAATTTATTATAAAGCGTCATTAATGTATTTTATTTATGTGCGTAATTTTATTTTAAGTTGTCTTGAAATGAATAGAGTACATTAGTTATGAGACATAATAATATAACACGTTACGCGCCCAAATCCATATAATTGGAAATGCAAGAATCCGATGATCGCCATTACAACAAACGGGTAAAAACACAATAGATCTCATCGAATATTACCAAAGATTATTAATATTATTATTGGGCAGAATTTTTTTTAAAAAATTGGAAAAGGCTGGCTTAGTGTGAAAAAAGTTGTCCAATTTTGATTATCTCCAAGACTTTAATGAGTAGTGCTAACATTATTATTATTGTTAGTAATGAGCCATAATCATTGTCGTTATGAAAATTATTAAGGTACAATTAATGAGACTTTATAGTACAGCTTTCAAGCGTCTAAGATATGCAAAACATGCATAATTCTCATGGAACGAACAACATAATGCGGTTCTGCTGGAAGTGTAATTTCGCTGTGAACGACACATCATCATGTGCTCACAACTTTAATCATCGATCGTGTCTCCCCAGTTCTTATTCGACGTACAGTGTAACTCTCAAGCACGAGTCACACACAATCAGAATCCCAAGTCCTCCCCTGCCATTGTGGTAATTATGTCCAAAAAACAGGGGCAATCATGATTCTGACGTCAGCTTTGATGGCAACCCGCACTACCTCATCACCACCACTCCCAACCCCACCATCTGTTCGGATTTCAGACTCACCAAACCAAAACCCTCTCTCTAATACGGACTGTGCTTCAGAATTCCAGAACCCGACAAAAGCAACCTCTGCCTCCTCTGAACCCAGTGGCTCCCCCCTGTAATTTCCTTAAAAATCGCTCCTTTTTTCCTGATGAGGCGCACTTTAGCACTTGCATTTATTTTCTGAGAAAGAGAAGGAAGGGGGGAAGGAGAATAGCACGCAGTTCGTCGACGCAGCGATACCCGAAGTTGAAGACGACCTAACCAACCTCTCAGCGACACATCAACTATCACAATCTCACACTCTCCTGTTCCTCTCTCCACCAAAACTCATAGTATTCTCTTACCTCGTTTTGTTGGCTGCTTCGTATTCTATAGTTTTTCCCCCTCTGATTCAGTTTCCTCGAGCTAGAATGGAGAAGATGATTGCTCTTTACAAGCTTGAGGCTCGTGGGTTAGTGTAGGTTCTCGTAGTTCCTCGCTCTACTTTCTCATTCGTCCTTAACTTGCTTTTTCAACCTCGCTCCCTCCTCTTCCCCCCCTCCCCACAACTTCCTCTTCTGGAGGATGGCCTGCCGAACACTGATCGCGGGAAACTTGGATCCAGAGAGAAGAAGAACTGGCGGACTGAGAACTAAACAGGCGGGAAGAGGATCGTGCCGTGGTAGTTAGAACAGGGGGGTCAAACTTGCCGGGAAATGCTTCGTCTCCGGTTTTGACCTCCTCTCATTTTCTTGTTTCGTGTTGCATGCTAGTGTTAATCCATAATTAGTTCGGGAGAAAAACTTTTTTGCGCTTTTTCATCCCGTCGTTGAAACGATGGGTTTATTGTTGAAAGAAGCCTTGAAGACTCTCTGCGGTCGGAGTCAATGGTCGTATGCTGTGTTCTGGAAGATCGGCTGCCACAATCCTAAGTAAGTGCCTTCTGGGCCATGTCTGATTAATTGAAAGATATAGGAAAAGAAAGATATATTCTCCGAATTAGTTCCTTTTCCTTCTCACACTTTCTGTTTTTAAGTATCTATCTGTTGGATGCGTTTTTGCCTTGTATTTCTTATTTAGTTAGGAGTTAGGAGAAATTGAAAGTAAAGGTTTCCTGTGAATTTGTCTGGCTCGATTCAATGGAAATTTTGTGGTTCCGAGTACTCAAATCAATAATAAATCAATATCAGTAAATATTTTCAAGTGTATATGGTATATACCTCCTTTAGCACTTGTACTTTCTTGAAAACCAAAGGGGTATCTTATACAAAATTGTATTTGATTCTATTTTTTTGGTCCAAGAGGACTGAGTTTACGGGGTTGGTTCGCTTTAAAGATACGATGGACAGGTTAAGGTCTTATTTAAGTTGTATGCTGCTCTCTCTTCGTTCCTATTTTGGAATTTTATGCTTTGGTTGCTTCTGTTGTCTACGAGAATATTTATAAATAAAGGTTCATGTCCATTGGTTTGACAGACTCACTCTCTATTGGATTGATTATCTGTGGACGAACCTACTGATTAAGAATTTCTCTTCCTTAGTTGAATCTATTTGGTCTTATTTTCTTGTACTGTTAAGAAAAATGCTATCCTTTTTCTTCTGCTGGGGAAAAAATGCTACCTTTTTTCTTTTGCTGATAGGTTTATCTGTTAATCTATCTGTCTCATGCAAAGACTGGCTGATGCTATTATGAACCATCACTGCATAGCTAGCGTGCTTGCATGTGTGTGCGATTTTCCTTGTGAGAAACAGAAATATTCAGCGACATTTTCTTGCTTTTATTCTTCTCACCCCTGTAAAATATATGAAAGTGTTGTTGCTTTTTCATGAAGTCTTCTTTTGCTTTCTTGCGATAAGGTTATAGCAGGCCAGGTAGATGCTGAAGAAGATTCACATTTGATTTTATTTTGATCTCTGCCTGTATAATATTTGTGTTTGAGTTACTATGGTGGTTTGACTTGGCAGGCTATTAATATGGGAAGAATGCTATTACGAACCCTTGCCTTGCCCCTTTCCTCCAAACGTTGATAGAATTGGGACATCTGACTTGTCCTTTGGAGGTGTGGAGGGCGACAGAGTTTGTTCCTTGATTAACAGAATGATGGTGAATAATTCAGTCAATATTGCGGGAGAGGGGTAGGCAAATTCTTTTTTCACATTTTTTTCTTGTGACATTTCCTCCCCCTCTCCCTCGGTCTGATATCACATCCTGACTCCTGAGAATGAACTGCTTTTTATGTCATTTCAAAGTATTTCAAGTGATGCTCTTTTTCTTTTTTTGGCTAATGTTCAGGATAATTGGACGGGCAGCATTCACAGGAAACCATCAATGGATTCTTTTAAGCAATTTTATTAGAGCTGCATGCCCACCAGAGGTATAAAGTCGGTGATCTAATTTCAGTGATGCTATAACAGAACCCCGATATTGTGGAAAATGTATTTATTTAGAAACTGAAATGGAAAATTTTGAAGAATTCATGGCTGTCTTTGGATCAATAACTGAGATGATGATGAACTTGTCAATTTATAATGAAGATCATATGAGCTTGCCCCCTTGGTGGCGAAATAGTAACCAGTATCTTTACTTTTTCCCCTTGGAAGGGATAGACTTGGAGCATATGTACTTATGGATTTCATTTTGATTCTTTTATTGGTGCCTTTTTCTTAGGTAAAAAATGAAGTGCATCATCAATTTTCACTTGGGATGCAGGTTTGTGGTTATCTTTATTCCTCACATTTTGCTGTAAATAAACTGCATCATACTGGATCATAATTCAATATTGTATTATCTTGCAGACCATAGTGGTTATTCCTGTACTTCCTCATGGGGTTGTTCAACTTGGTTCTTTCTTCACAGTGAGTATTTTTTTTCTTTCGTTCTGTAATTTTAATGTGCGTGTTCTACTTTAAAAGTTCATGTCTAACTGCTTATTGAAGGTGAGAGGTCAAGATTTCACCTGGGTTAATAACGAATTCTGTGAGTCAAATAAATAGAAGTCACCTTTCACTTAAATGGCTCACATGATCCTTTGCATTAATCTAGGACATACATTTGCAAAATCATTTTAGCGAGTCCTTATGGTTTAATAAGATCATTGTTCTTATATAATCAGCCCCAAATGAACTCGATGTTGCACAAGTGACTTATGAATTATTTTGCGCTCGTGTGTTCCTGTGATTCCCTTGCACAATTTGTGCCTTTGGTTTGTCAATAGCTTAACATATAAGGTGGCTGATGTTGTACTAGATTACTATCTGTCTTGCTATTGGAACATCTATCAGTCCATAGTTCCTAGTATTGATGCAGAAATTTTCTAGTTTATATTGGCTCTTCTCTAGTTTTGAGCATTTTGGTGAATGCTTCATCATTCATGAAGCCCAACAAGTTAGTTTCTATTGGTTACTCTCCACTAGTCTTAACTTACGTGACATCTCCTATTGCAACAGATAATGGAGGATGTTGGATTTGTGAATGATGTAAGGAGTTTAATCTTGCAATTGGGATGTGTTCCTGGTGTTCTTCTATCTGAAGATTATTCAAAAAAAGCTTCTGTTCAAGGGCTCAGTGCAACTGTTACTGTTGGGGTGCCTGTCTCAAATTGCAGCCCCTCAGTGGCTAGTGGCTCCAACCAACAAAACAATTCACCCCACACTTCTAATTCCATTTTTCACCAATCTCTACTACACAGGGAAGAGATGAATAATGACCAAGTTTCTGTATTGACACATCAAACCCCTAGCCTGTCTCAGATGTTGTCCAAGTACCATGATAACCTCTGCCAAACTAAGGCAATTCCAATGACAAAACCAAACTTTACTGGGCCATCAAATGATAGAGTTGTGGAGGCACAAGTGATACCCTCAAATCTTAATTCATGTCCTCAACAAACTTCTGTTTTGTGTGATTCAAGATCTGCATTCAGTGAATTGAATGGTGTTGGCCAATCAAGTCTGAGTGACTGCAGCATGAAGTTTAATGATCAACAAACTTTATCAGGTAGTGGGAGTCAGAATTACATCAATTCTCTTATAAATGCTTCAAGTAATTCAAGCATGACTCAACTGAAGACAAACAGAGTCCATATGGCCGACCTTAATCAAAATTCTGATAGTACTCCATTACTTGGAGGAATCCCAATTCATGGTGGAATGCACAGTCTGTTGAGGTCAAGCTTGACTAATACCTCTGTTTCAGTACCTCCGAAAGTTGGTGCTGCTGATCTTTCCGGAACACGTAAAGTTGGGACTGAACTTCTAAATGATGATTCAACTAAAGCAGGGGCTTTTTCTCTCCCTTATGTGGCAAATCAATTCGGCGCTTGTCACAGACCTTTAGAAAGCTCTGATCAGAAGAATCTTCCCCTTGATTTAAAGTGTGCTCATGACAAGTTGGGTCCAACTGATCAAATGATAGATGGTGATTTGCTTCAGGCCCTTAACATCCCATCTCTTCATCTTGAGGAGCATGTGCCTGTGAGTGATCATATTATGGGTTTTGGAAATGGTTCCCTCAATAATGATGGTACAGGTCAATCTTTCACAGAACAAGAAACTTATGCCCAGCCTTCATCAGGAGATGACCTGTTTGATGTTTTAGGTGTGGATTTTAAAAACAAAATACTGCATGAAAACTGGAATAAGTTGCCTCCTGATGAATCAGATGTTAATGCCAGAGGCCTGGATAGAAAGGCAGTGTGTATGGATATGCAGGGCTTAGACACTGATTCCTATTCAGTGAATGGGACAGTATCAGATAGTGGCGTATTCTCTGGGAGGGGTTCTGATCACCTTTTGGATGCTGTGGTCTCAAGAGCTCAATCTGCGGTGAAACAGGATTCTGGTGATATGTCTTGCAGGACAACAGTGACTAAGATCAGCAGTGCCTCTGTTCCCTCTTCTTCCCACAGGAAGGTTTTGTCAGATCATGCCCTTGGTGGATTGTTGAACTTTCCGAAGACTGAGGGTAAATTAAGTGCTGCAGAAGCTTGTTCTCTTCAGTCTGAATGTCACAAGGATGATGCTGGAAACTGCTCTCAAACTTCTTCCATTTATGGGTCTCAACTCAGCTCATGGGCTGAGAATGTTAGCAATGTGAAACGTGAAAACAGTGTTTCAACTGGTTACTCTAAGCGACCAGATGAAGTTGGCAAATCAAATCGCAAAAGGCTTAAACCTGGAGAGAACCCAAGACCTCGACCTAAAGATCGCCAAATGATTCAAGACCGTGTGAAAGAGTTGCGGGAAATTGTGCCAAATGGCGCAAAGGTAAAGTCTTTCTTGTTCTCTCTTATCTCTGCATAGTTTCTTATCATAATGTCATATTCAGATACTGAATTTTTTATGTGATTGCCCAATATAACAGTGTAGCATTGATGCGCTTCTTGAACGGACCATAAAACACATGCTTTTCTTGCAAAGCGTAACAAAGCATGCTGATAAGCTGAAACAAACAGGGGACTCCAAGGTATAGACAACACCCACTTCTTATCTCATATGCCAGGCAATATTTCTGGCAACGAAGTGGAATAGTTTTCATTTGATGGTTGCGTGTTCATATATTTTATCATCAACAGATTAAAGATAGTGACAGCAGAGTTCTTTCTTTTCCTAAATATGCAGATTATTAATAAGGAAGGTGGGCTGCTTCTAAAAGATAATTTTGAAGGAGGGGCCACATGGGCATATGAGGTTGGCTCGCAATCAATGGTTTGCCCTATCATAGTTGAGGATCTTAATCCACCTCGTCAGATGTTAGTGGAGGTAGTGAATCCTGTTATGTTGATTTGTAACTTTTTTGGATTGTAAAGTATTTCTTTATCACTTTGATCCGTCTGCTTGATTACTCTTAACAGATGCTTTGTGAAGAACGGGGTTTCTTTCTGGAGATAGCTGACTTGATCAGGGGAATGGGTTTGACCATTTTAAAGGGGGTAATGGAAGCTCAAAATGACAAGATTTGGGCACGCTTTGCTGTGGAGGTAATACTCTAGTTAAAGGAATGTTCTTGCTCTTTCAATTCTATTTGGTTTACCAGTTGTCTAGATTGCAAGTTATACTGACGTATATGGCTTACTGATTTTAATGCTCGAGTGTCTATAGCTGTTGAGGGAAAAAGTTTTCAGTCCTCAATAAGTTAATGATAAATGAAGAAGTAGGTGACATTGAATCCAGTATTCCCACATTTTTGGGTATCAAAAGTCTATTTCAGACGATTTTGAAGAAAAAGTTCTTGTCAGATATGGGATCTTGAATTACAGGATATCTGATTTTTAATTACTGGTATGAAAATATCAGTATTCCAAATTGTAAATGCTATGCCAATGCAATACATTAGCTTCAATTGCAATGTGACACTGAACTGAAAGTTGCTTCATATGTTTGGCTAGGAGCTTCGCATGCTGTATTGATGTTTGATAATGCCTTGACTTTTACCATGGGGGATTTTTCATAATACAAATCAACTGATAGAAATGCACGAATGCTGTGCCTTTGTTACGCCAATGCCATTGTTTAGGAATTTGAGTCCAGCAACTTTAATGTTCAACTAAATAATAAAAGAGTCGTGGCAACATTTCTTGTATGGGTATGGTTCTCAGAATCCCATTGATTTATTTTTGCCATTTTGAATACAATAAATCTGTGTACTTTCTTCTTATGCCTCGGTTAATCTTGATGTTTTCGGCCAATTCCAAGGCAAAGTCTGTGATATGTGTATAAATAGGTTTACTTACCCACAAGTTGTGCAGGCAAATCGGGATGTGACAAGGATGGAAATATTCATGTCACTGGTTCATCTTCTGGAACAAACAGTGAACGGGGGTGCATCTATATCAAACGAAATCAACAACATGATGGTTTATCACTCCTTCCCACAACCTACTCAGATACCAGCAACTGGGAGACCTAGTAGCATGCAATGAAACCACCTGCTATATAGATTCATTGGCCTGGATGTGTTGGGAGCAAGTCTGATGTTTTACTTGCTGTGACTGACATCAACTCCAGTCCAAGACTTAACCTTGCCTGTTTTACTTGCCATCTGACCTCATTTTGTTGGTGGATGTGTTTAGTTAGAGAAGAACGACGCAAGATTAATGTTATCCACTTATCCTATATATGTATCCTTAGTGTTTCTTCTGTTGCCTGCCAAGATATCTTTGTCATGCTCTGGCAGTCTCCACTGATACTCTATGTTAGTGCAGCTTTCAGATGACTTGTACAAGTTTTCCCCCTTCTTCATGGTTTTATGGGTTTGTGCTTCTGATGTATAGGTAGTGTAGGATGTGGAATGAACCTTTTGTCCTCTTGAATTTCTGAATGTTGTTGGGGTGGTGAAGTTGATTTTGCTATATTATTGCCCTACCAATGTTATTAATTTCAACACTAGGTGTGGTTTGTACATCATTGGAGTCTGCTAGATGCTTGCTATTTTATTCTCTATTCATATTTATTTATTGCTGGATTCATATTCAAGTTGCTACCTATTGAAGTATAATAACTTTTTTTTTCTCAACCTGAATATATGTTTAATAACTTGATTCATGTATATTACATATTAAATTCAATCCATTCTTGTACTCAGTTTTAAATTATAAGATATCTTTCGGGAAGATTTGGTCTTCTAAAATATAAAACAATAGTTGAGTGTTGATAAAAGAGCTTTTGATTAGTTTTCTGGATAAGTGTTGATAAAAAAATAACGGCGGAGTCTGAAGCTGATATGGCGGATCCAGGACCTTTATCTCCTCCGAACCTGTATAATTTGACTTGACAGGATTCCACGTCATTGGAATTATTCAACTAATTTATGTTGACCCTTTACTTTGGTTCAGTATTTGACACGGTAGTTGCAAACAATTGTAACCAAATTATTTGTTGAATTGTGACGCTAAATTACATGTTTGACTAAAACTTTCGTCCGCTTGTATAACCTTTCTTGCAAGTCACAACCTGAAGTACAATCAAGTCTTTGTCTATTTATTTATTTATTTTTGGGGGGGGGGTGGTGGGGGAGTTTGTGATTACATGCTATTCATCTCACCTACTAATGGCTACGGATGACTTTTAGTCTAAATAAAACGGAACCAAGTTCTTTTTTTTTTTTTTTAATATCTGTGTTGAATTATATGCAAGGAATTCAATTTGCTAAAGATGAGTCAATAATTTATTGAAATTTTCAATTCAAACATAAAAAAAACAACTCATACTGTTTAACCAACTTACAAAATTTAATAAAGTTGATTTTTTCTAATAATTATGTCTGAAATTAAAAACTTGAGACTTAAATGTCTTTCTGATTAATTCTTAATTTTTTTCTAATTTAATATTACTATCATTTGAGGAAGACCATTTAAGAAAAATATCATAAATGTTTCTTGAAAATTGTTTTGCTTATAAAAAAAAACAACCATATGAAAGTTTTCTTTGTATTAAAAAACGGAGGGAGTAATTCTTGTTAAAAAAGAAAGAAAGAAATGAGGGAGCACCAATGTTGGGTTATGTAAAAGTAAACGTGCAAGTAAAGCAGTGTATAATCTTTGTTGGCCCAAAAAAAGCTAAAAGGCTCAATCTTCTTTTTGTGAGTTTCGTGTTGCCAAATGGATCACAGCTTTAATCGTAAAGGTGTTTCGAGCCAAATGATGTGCCAAAAGAAACATTAGGCTAATTATTATACTTGAGTAACATATTTCTTATTTTTTATATTTTTAATAGAATCTCACTTTTAATAAAATAATTAATTATATTTAAATTAATATTATATTTTATATTTATTTATATTTAATATTTTTTCCATCTTAAATTATAAAATAATTTGATACAAAATTATGTATAATGATAAAACTTAATAATAATACTTTATAAACTTTTTTTAAGACAAATCTATTAATTTTTAAAAATTTGCCCTTACACTTAATCATTCTACTATAATATCATTTCAACTCTCTCTATTTAAAAAATAATATTAAAAAAATTATCATTAAAACTTTATTTTTCTCAAATTTTTTTGTATTTTAAAACAATAAAATAAATTTAAAATTGTCTTATAATTTATAACAAAGGGAGTAAACTATTTCACTTAAAAATAAATATAAAATAGTTTATTTATTATGATAATTTTTTTAAAAAACACATTAATTATATTTTAAAACATTAAAAATACCTTATATGTTTTTATGGATGGAGTATATTGTTATTAATATTTTTTTTCTGTACCAAATTCATTATTTCTTTTAGGCTAAGGTTATATGATAACGTCTTTTAAAAAAAATAATTCAAAAAAAGTTCATGAGATGAGGTGATCATATCATATATTTAAGAAAAATGAAACATCATTAAACTTAATGACGCTTTCGAATTACACACGAACATAAAAAATTATTACATGAATCCCAGAAATGATTCAATAATTTTTAGCCTAATCAATATACTGTGGTAAATTGATCTGAAAGAACATTGGAGGCAACAAATTCAAATAGGTGATATCCAACACATGGGGCCGGGGAGAACTCTCTGGTCTATAATCTTAAGTTATATATATATATATATATATAGGCAAAATATCCTGAAAAGTTGTTATTTATTCAAATTCGAGAAAATTATTTGAACATGTTTTATTACTTTATGTTATCACATGTTAAAAAAACATCTTCTCAGAGAAACACGAAGAAATAAGAACTTCATTTCTTTCTTGAGTTGTTGTGCTGTCACTTGTTTTTCTCCCGGAATCATAAACGATGATGTGTTTGGGGGGTTGTTGGGGGAATATTTTAATTCAAAAAAATCATTCAATTTTTTAATAGTAATACCAGATAATTCGTCGTTTTAAAGCTTAAACTTCTAACCGAGTAAAACCGAACACCAAAGATTAATTTTTTAATGGGTTGTATTAATTTTTCTTAAATAGAAAAATGTGTAATCATTAATAATGGGTTGTTATCATATATTTAAAAATTAATACAAAAAAAGTTCGTGTGTAATCATTAACGTCTTTTAGACTATTTTTTGTGTGGATAAAATAGTCTGCTCTGAACAGTCAATTTATAAAATTTAATAATTCAAGGCTGATATCAACGTCTCAGGAAATGTCCTACTTGATGTAAATTATTATAGGATCGTCGGTCTAATTAATTACAAGTCAAATTTTAAGATACCTGAGGCAGGTCACATTTTTTTCTTTTCTCAACCTCGACAAAAGGATATAGACAAGTTACAATACTAACGCAACAACCTTTGAGTTAAGTGGCACCGACACTTCTTCTATAACAGGGGCGAGCCTAAAGGGGATGCGTAACGTAATATGCGCCCTCCCTTCTCACGGGGAAGTACTGTAAATATGAATAGGTGAGTGAACATTGTTGGTAATTATACCCTATTAAAAAAATGACAATACAAATGCTCACTAACTATTTACTTATGTTCTTGGATTCAATTTTGCATTTATATTTATTTTTTTAAAATATTGAACATCCTATACTCTTAAATGAAATAATTTTATTTTTAAATTATTTTTTTGAGGAGCAAAAAAAGAAAACCCTCCATTAATGAACCATTTATTTTTTTTCACTTTTTATTAGCGTGACATGTGCATGAGTGACATGTAAAACTTTAACTATATCATTTGATACTCATTTGCTCCTGAACTTTTTTAAGGAGTGTTGAGCATTCTAATGTCTTTTTATAAGAGCATTGGGTACCTTAAAATTTTATTAAAATAAAATTTAATAAATATTTCAATAATATTAAACTTTTTCATATTTAATAATTTAAATATTATTATTTATAAACATTCATTCAAAATTTATAAATTATTTTTTAAATATTAACAACTCAAACTAATATTTTATAAATTTATAGATAACTTCTTTATATATATATATATATATATATTAATATTCAATCTTCTTTTTTGAGATAGTGTTCAAATCATTACGCTTTTTATATGTGTCAAAACTTGCTTATATTTTTAATATTGATTTAGTTTCGTAATTTTTTTGGTCAGCTAATAATCTTCCTTCAAAATATTACGTTATCCAAATTTAATACTCTCTATATATTGCAGTATTAGGAGTAAAATCATAAATATGACAATCAAGACCAACAAAATAATAACAAAAATATTTATTTGAAAGATATCACTTATTTTATTAAAATACTACAAAAAAAGTTATTTAACAAAAAAAATAGAGAGATGAGAAGAAAAAATTTCTTTATTAATTTAGAGGTTCATTCCTTTCATTTTTAATACAAAATTATAAAATATTAAAATATTAATTTGATTAATGTAATGTTTTAAATAATAATATTTAAATTATTAAATATTAAAATAATTAATATTTTAATAATATTTATTAAAATTTATTTTAACAAGATTTCAGAGTATCTATTGCTCATAGAAAAAAATTTTAATATATCCAGCGCTCCTAAAAAAAGAGTTTAGAGATAAATTAGTATCAAAAGACATGATCAAAGTCTTACATGTCATTGTGTGTGGCTCCACGCACATGCTACGTCAATAAAAATGAATAAATTAACGGTTCATTAACAGAGAAGGTTTTTTGCTATTTGAAAAAATAGTTTAAAGATAAAATTGCTCTGTTTTAAAGTATAAGGTGCCCAATGCTCCTAAAAAATAAGTACAGGAGTAAAATTAAACCTTAATCCTATGTTCTTGGCTTAAATGAATTTTTTCTGAATTAATTTTATTCCATAGTCATCTTTCATTTTTCAATTTTTTTAACATATATTTTAAATTGTTTTAATACTCACTTTTAATATTTTCAGTATTGAAAATATAGAAGATGAATATTGAACAAATTAAAGTTAGCTATTTAAAAAAAATGAAAACATTGATTAATAACAATTTTAAGAATAAATACTATGAAAGATGAGTACAAAAATATAAAAAAAAATTAAGTACCGAAAACAATGAATTCAAGAAAAAATTTAAATTAAGCTAAGGAGTATAGTACTTTTTTAAAATTTCAAAATTTCATTAGTTTTAACCTCTTTATGATGTTTATATCGTGGATTCGAACCGCACCTGCAAACATTTCGACGCTTGCCAACTTAAAAAAAAAAAAATGAAAAACAGAGAGGATCTTTATGCCAAACATCGAGATAACAATATAAAGAAAACTAAATCTGTATTGTTTCCAATATGATGAATATTTTATTTACACTTTGTATTTATAGAAATGTAATACAACTTTAATTTAATGACTAAAAAGACGTTGGTGAATAATAAATTTTATATATTTTATCTAACTTTTTTTATATATTTTAATGATAATTTTAGATTAATTTAAATTTATTATATATTATTTGAATTATTAATTAATTTTTAAGAATAATATATTTTTGGATTAATTATGAAAATTTTTAACTTAATTGTTAATATTTTATTTTTTATTTTTAACATGATTTAAATTTTTTTCAATTTTTAATTAAACTTAATTTAAATTAGTATATATTAT